AGGGAGGGAGGGAGGGAGGGAGGGAGGGAGGAGAAAAAAGAGTTAACTGCAAAACAATCTCAGATAGGTCTCTGGGAGAAAAAGGCTTCATCCTCACAGGAAAGGACAGCCCCGTGCCTGTCACTGCCCACCAGGACCATCAAATGGGACAAGCTAAGGACCGGATGAGTGACACCGAAGAGCCTCGCTCTACCCTGCAAGGACAAAGCCGAATGGGGCCAGAGAGGGGACTCACAGGTGCCGAGCACTAAGGCGCGGATCCGAGCACCCACATGGCAGCTCACACCCACCTCATACTCCCATCCCAGGGAGTTTTCTGAGCACTAGGGGCTCCTGCACGTATGTGGGGCACACAGATACACTCAAACACAGTCATACACATAGTAAACTGCTAGGAAAAGCTTGCGGAGTGTGGCTAGGAAGAGAACTTTTGCATAGCTGTACAATGTGCACTTTAAGTTAAGTGGATGACAGAAAAAGCTTAGCCCAGCCCATACCTTTACTAGAGAGTTCCAGGACAAACAGGGCTACATAGTAAGACCCTGTCTCTAAACAAAAAGCAAAGGAAACAACAAAAAACCTTAAGAGTTTATAAAGTAAAAGCCCTCTAGTAAGCTAACACTAATGTATTGAGGAAACTTTTTTTTGAGGGGGGGTGGTTTCGAGGCAGGGTTTCTCTGTAGCTTTGGAGCCTGTCCTGGAACTCACTCTGCCTCCTGCGTGCTGGGATTAAAGGCATGTACCAGCACTGCCTTGGGAGGAGACATTTTCTGTAAGGCAGTGCGGCCTGTGTCCAGTGTAGTCAGTAGAGTTGTTTCCTCAGCACTCACTGACACCCTGAGGGCCCGTCCTGGGCACCCCGCTCTCTGGCTCTCATGCTGTATTGTTGATGTTTGGCTCTGTGGAAGTGAGCAGACCTTTGCCACTGTGTCTCCAACTGTCATCCAGCCCCAGAACATACGCTGTGCAGGCTGCAGCCGAGGACTCACAGGCACTGCTTCCCAGCCTGAGTGTTGTTGCTCCACCATACAGCTGTGCATGCTCGCACCTCACATGCCATGAGGAAATTCCCTAACACAGTTCTTAGACCATCTGTCTGTCATTAAAGGCCACACAGGCCTTTATAAAGTTGAGGGAAAGAGAATAGTGCACACAGATATCTAACACAGGATTTTTCAAAACCTGTTCTTCATCTCTCTTCCTGCCAGAACGCTTTAGTGAAGCTGTGGTCAGTCAGGGGAAAGCTTAGGGGAAGTCATAGCTCCTGGGCCAGGACACAAAGTGCTAACTATACGCTAGACCGCATGGAGGACCAGAGCAGCACGCCAGAGCCTCAACACTCCCTGGAATGCCTCTTCCTCAGCTGTACAGATAGCAACTGGAGATAAGGGAGGGCATCTCTTGTGCTTTATATGCCTGCACCTCTTTGCAAGGACCCTATATCTACACATGACCCCTTTCTTGACCAAATCCTTACAAGATGCTCATCTGACGCCAAACTTTTGAAAACTACGCTCATTCCTCCTGCCTCTCTCTTCCTATTTACTCCCTTCTGCCTCCAGCATGAAGCACAGAATGTCTGACCATGTCAAGCCTCTGAGAAAGGTTTTCACAAAAATGGGAGATCAAAGCCAGGCCTGAAGAAAGCCAAACCTACTTTTCTATAGTGAAAAGGTGTGGGGCACAATTAGGACTTCAGTGATTTTCCAATGTTCAGGAGACAAAGAGGAGCTGGAGGGAGGGGCAGAACAAAACCAAATCCACCTGAATGGGAACTCAGTGTCAAAGCTATGTACCTTAAGAGGACGGGCACATGAACTCCCTAGCTTTTAGGAAGCACTGTACCAGTTGCTCAGTGTTCCCAAGGGCTGGCCACTGGGTCTGCCAAGATGCCCCAAAATAAACCTCTTGGGCGGGGCAGTGGTCGTGGGAGGGAGGGGCAGTGGTCGTGGGAGGGAGGGGCAGTGGTCGTGGGAGGGACCAGCACAGCTCGCTCAGCTGCTCAGACTGGGGAACTCTCTCCAGTTATCACGGAATACCTTGCGGGAGATCCCTGCTCTCCATCCTTGATGCAACCACAGAGACAGACAGATGAAGTCAGATATAAGAGGTGACCTGAATTGACCTCATGGCTAAAGAGCTTGGCAATCAACTCATTGACCCTGACACGCATGAAGCTCAGTGGTTTTCCAGCCAACTTGTGAAGCATTTGTGAGAATGCACACACTTGCCTGCATGGCCCCATATCCAGCTGGGCATGTAGATACTGCAGGGGGAGGTGACACTCCTGGGGGTGAACAATGCACATGCCATTCCACATCAGTGACTCTTTGTACATGCCATGTGCCATGCTGGCTCCCAAGGACAGAGACACTCAAATCCCAACTCCTTCCCTCCACACCATTACTGTGTACATTAACATGACTTTACTGTTCCAGGAAACATAGGCAGGGCCAGAAAGACAAAAGTGGCAAGTTACTAGGTTATGGGAACTTCTAGAAGAAACCCTAACTTTTTAAACAAACAATTTGATTTTCCAATAAACAGTGAACAACTGTTTATTCTCCATAACTTGTGTTTTAAAACCCTTCCTCCTATGGTCACATGCCTGTGTCCTGGTCTGTTCTGGTGGATGTGTCAGGCACAGAGGCCTCTAGTAACGTTTCTCAGCTGCCAGCTGGTAGTGAGCTGCTCCCTGTCTGCTTAGTTCCTCCATCCTCTCTGCTGCAGCTGAGGGAGGACATGTGAATCATGCCCATGGCTTGGCAGGGAGGGAAGCTACAAGAAGCCCAAGCCACGAGACTTCTGTGGGTAAGAGCCACTGTGCCAGGCCAGGGAGAAACAATTATGTTTGCATAAGCCTCTGCAATGCGGGGGTCTGTGACACTAACATCATAAAGAGATAATGTTGCCCTCAAGATCTCACCATTCAGTTATCCCCCTCTTCAGACTTTGTCCTCCATCACCATGCGCTGTCTCTGACAGCAGAATGTTTCAAAAGACCACCCTGCGCACACACGGTATGTGCATACCCCACACATAAATAAATAAATATAAAAAATGAAAAAAGCAATCCACACACAAAGAAAATATTCACAACATATATAGTTGGAAGATTTGTATCTAGAAAAACAATTAGTATTGGCAATTTGTATTAAGAAAACCCATCAAGTTCTATCAGGACACCAGGGACATTCTGCACAGACAGACACATGAAAGGTGCCTGGTGTGGGAGGTCCTTCTGTCTATATGTTGCTTTTATTGGTTAATAAATAAGGAAACCGCTTTTGCCTATAGCAAGGCAGAGCTAAGCTAGACGAGGAAAACTAAACTGAATGCTGGGAGAAAGAAGGCGAAGTCAGTGAGACGCCATGTAGCCACTGCCAGAGACAGACGCTGGATGGAACTTTATCCCATAAGCCACAGCCATATGATGATACACAGATTAATGGAGATGGGTTAAATTAAGATGTAACAGTTGGCCAATAAGAAGTTATAGC